TAGATAGATTTATGTTCCTCTAAAACTTGTTTATGCTGACTTTCGTTGACCTACTGCAATTTTGAAGCAAGTTATGAGCTATAAATGTGGGGGGTAGGGTAGGCCGATCTCCATAAAATGTTTCAGAATGATTTTAGTTCCACTAAAACTTGTTTATGTCGAATTTTGATGCATTGCTATCATTTTGAAGCAAGTTATAAGCGTTATAGTCGTTTTCGTAGAGGGTCCTTATATGGGGGGTAGAGTCATTTATGGACCGATCCTCATAAAATTTGGGCGGGAGATTTTAAACTTATTTCTGTCGAATTTTATCGCTATACTCGTACTTTTAAAGCAGATATGCCCGTTAAAGCTGTTTTTCGGGGGCCCACTTGTATGGAGGCTATCCGAAAACGTGGACCGATATTGCCCATTTTCAATACCAAACAAACCTTATCTATAGAAAATATTTGTGGAAAATATAAACCCTCTAGCTAATTCCGTTCGGACTCTATCGTGCTTTCAACAGACAGACAGACGGACGGACATGACTAGATCGTCTTAGAATTTAATAAGGACCCAGAATGTATATACTTTTGTGGGTCTATGACCAATATTTCGATGTGTTACAAACGAAATGACAAAAAAATATACCCCCCATCTTTTTTGATGGTGGGTATAAAAACTTCATTGAAATAGTACGAGACAGTATAATAAGTCTACTTTGAGTTGTGTCGTCGTACCACTTGGAATTATTGTAGTTGTCTAAGTTTTATTAGATTTTTGTTAGTATGTAGTTAACTAAAGTGTTGCCAGATAAAAAAACTTTTAACATTCAGTTTAAATAATCTGGAAATTGAAAATGAAAAAATTATTTAATGAAAAAATTATTTTTGCAAAAAAAGAGATTTTAAGTCCGAAAAATATATTTATTAAATGTTTACTGATTAGATGTGGGCAAAATAAATTAAAAATCTGCGAATGTAGAAATTTAAATGTTATTTATTTTTCCTAAAATTTTTATGTACGATTTTATGCAAGTATGTATGTTTGGAAAGTGTGGTGAAAGTGGTTGGAGCTTCAATACTAATACAAAAATTCTGCCAATACATACTTAGAGTTAGGTACCGAATGACAACTCCTTTACGTACCAACTGACAAGCCACAATTTCTTTATATTCTTTGTTCATAAATTTCTAAATATATTTCAGAAATATCTATTCGTCTTTGAAATTTTGCATGGAAATTCTGGGTAAAATTTCTGAAATACAGATGGAAAATTCTGAAATAAAAATGAAAAATTCAAGAATATTATTCGAAGCGTCATAGTGTTATGGCAGTTATGACACAATCAAAACAGAAATGTATTAGAAATTTTGTTTAGAATTTATGAAAAGATTTGCTCCTAAAAAGTGTCATGGATAGACGGACTTCGGCCGGCCGCAAGGCTTCTGTACTCTGGGGTATTTCGAATTCCGGCTTCGCTAAATTAAGCATATGCATACACAGAGGGAAAATGAAATATACACTCCTGGTACCAAATTGACACCAACCTGTTTATAATTTTTCAATACCATCCGTTGTCAAAGTATATACATAAGTACGTACGACAACGCTATGTAATGTTGACAACATTGCAACAGTTCGTTGTCGAAATCTAAATTTTACACACATCCGTTTTCTTAATGTTAACAAACGTGGTAAGCTCACTATTGACAAACAATCCGTTGCCAATAGTAAGCTTACCACGTTTGTTAATATTTAGACAACGGATGTGTAAAAAATTTAGATTTTGACAAGGAAGTGTTGCAATGTTGACAACGTTGCGTTGTCAACATTACATAGTGTTGTCATACGTATGTATATACTTTGACAAAAGAAGTTATTGAAAAATTATAAACTCTTTGGTGTCAATTTGATACCAGGCGTGTATATTTCCTTTTCTCTCTGTGTAGCAATTGATGTGATTGATGCTCATTTTCAGGGAAACATTTATCGCATAAATTTCAGAACTCTAGCTCATTCGTATTTTATTGACATAATGACACTTTTGAAAGTATTATTATAACATCCATGGACACCATTACACTTTTGGAAGTGTTATAACGTCAATGGATACTTTTTGATGTCATAAAGTCCATAGACATTATGACATGACACCATGACCAAACCACAGCTAGCTACTTTCCTTGGTGGCCTGTCATAATGTCCAGTGTCATAGTGTAGATCGAATCACATCAATGTTGTGACACACTAAAAAGTGTCATAGTGTCCATAGAGATTATTACACTTTCGAAAATGAAATGTATTGGAAAATTTGTTTAGTATTTATGATACTCTCATTCTAAATACTAAACCTTTTGGATTTCTTTTAAAAAAAGTGTCCTGGATGGACGGCCTTCATTCAGGCGCATGGGTTTTAAACTCTGGGGTATTTCGAATTCCGGCTTGGATAAATTAAGGCTTAGCCGGTCCATGTACAAGTACTCTGTTAAAGAGCTCGTTGATCACGTTGCGAAAAGACAAGTAGCAAGCTACCCCGACAGGCTGAGAAGTACCAGATGCATCTAAAGAGAGGGGTCAACGAAGACCTCAACATCGTACCCATTGAATCTATAATCTCGGGATCAACACTGAGATTAATCAATAGGTATATGCACAGCCATGAGCGACGCCGTAGCGTCCCCATCCTCTAACGATTCGCACAGGTAGTATTAACAACCATTAGTCGTACAACCACATCACAAGGCTCTGTTGCTTCGGCAACAGCACCTAGAGACAAATTGGTAGATCGAATCACAGATTCCATTATAACTTGACAAGATTTATTTCAGTGGCCATTAGGACCTACTGCTTTAAGCATGATTAGAGTAAACTCCAAACACACCCAACCGTGAAGGAAAATTGTCGATAAAACAAAGATTAAACATCGTCACCAAACCGTTCAAAAACCATCAATCATACTTAAGTATGCAGCAAAACACCAACCTATCAACCTTCCTACATCATCCATTCCGTCTTATACGACATTTCCATCTCTTCCAACACTTCCGTCTCTTCCGATACTTCCATCTCTTCCGACACTTTCATCTCTTCCATAAGATACATCGTATCCAACAGTCAACACATCATTTTAATGATCAATCATTGCATTAACAGCTCATTCCCAACATTTTATTCCACAGCTTACCCTGTGGTTTGTACCGCTCTTAACGACGATAACAGACACTTTTCTTGAAAAGATATTACTTCACCGTGAATCAAACCAAACCAACAGTCCCTTTCCGCGATTTTGGATATAAACCACAGCCACTGCGTGGATCCCGAAGGAACCTTAATCAACTGACCAGACAGGACAAAGTCCTGCAGGCAACTGGCCACCCGTAGTGCCATATTATGTGGTTCTCTGGTTAGACCCCATATCAAATCATTTCAAGGCCTTGCAAGGAAAGGCAAAGGATACATTTGATCATCACCAGTTTATAGTCCCGGCAGACTAGAGGTATTGGTAGCACTTCTATACCCCGGGATTGCAATACACCAAGATGGAGTTTTCATCAAGGAAACATGACCCGGGGAGGTGTGCTCATAGACATTGTGTAATTTTGAAATTGTCATAACGTCCATAGACACTATGACTCAATTAAGTGTGTCATAACGTCTTATCGAAGTAGGAATTAGGAATTGTATTTTTCCTAATAATCTGGCAGTATTGCTTAAAACTTCAGTAAAATGCAGTAATAGCAAATAAGCTTTATACTGCCTTTGCTGGCACGAAAAACAAACCCTTGTTATTTATAGATTTATTATACCCTACTTTCGTGAGAATGGTATATTTAATTTGTCATTCAGTTTGTAATGTACACAAGATAATTTTCCGATTCTATAAAGTACATATATACATATATCCTAGAATTTAGATCTTTATAACCTAATGTCAGTTCTGTTTTGACATTCGTGTAGTAAACAGAACTGACATTAGGGGCATCGCAAAATTTATAGCATTTTCTGATAGGAGGATTACTTTTGCGCCACCTTATATATATTATTATATATTAAGCCATGTCTGTCCGTCTGTCTGTTGAAATCAATTCTCTGAAGACCCCATTAAAAATTGTTTTGCTTTCACTCGATTCACTCACTGTATACTACTTGAATTGAATCACACAAACACTCTCATTACTTGTTTCGTTTGAATTGAGTATTGACTAACATTCCTTATTTTCAAATATACTATTCATTTCATTCATAAAACAATGAGTGAGTCAAACACAGTGTTTGAAAAAAATCAAATGTTTTAATTTATTATTTAAGTCACTCATGCAGGGCTCTACTATCTACCTACCTAAGGTCAATTAAACTATGACCGTATAACCGTCGTGTCCATGTAGACATTGATATCAAAGAACAGGTCGGTAATTGTCTTCCTTCTTAGATGCTTACAGTAATCAGTTACATATCCAATTTGCTGACCAGAGTTGAAAGGAATTTTAAACGACTTTAATATTTTTACAAAAACATATACATACTTCAATATGTATTTACATATATTCGAATCTATTTACTAACAGCACATTTATATTATACACTGAAATATACTCGTATTAAACAAATCCACTGGTTGTGGAATGAGTGCATAACTTTTGCTGTAAAAAAAAGCATAGACTTTTATACCAACTCCATCCTTTAGTCTGTTCATTTTATTATATGTCGCCGTCATAAAGTCTGTATCAATCGATATATGTTTTATGTCATTGTTGGGTTATTTTTATACTAGCCTGTATTTTTTCTATAAATTAAAAGATTTTATGTTAAAATATTGAGGTCAAAAATAAATATTTTCCCCATTTTTTATAAATTCTTCAAATGGATTTAAGGCCATTGTGCAAAAGTGTTTTGAAATGTTCAATAGTAACAACAAAAGGGTTGATAAATTTCCATAAAATTCTTTAGCAACAAAGCCGTTTGATACTCTACATATTTTAATTTAATTTTCTGATTTTTTATGGCTCTATTTACAGATCGGCGTTTTTCTGTACGATTACATAACAGTAAGACCCCAAACGGAGTTGAACAGCACCAGCATACCAAGTGAGTCACTCTTGATTTATCGTCCAGATCGTCGCCTACAGATATGGCGATTTCTAACGTACATGGCTTTGCATGCAAATTGGTTTCATTTGGGTTTCAATGTCATCGTTCAACTGCTTTATGGGTTGCCATTAGAAATGGTACATGGCTCCGCACGTATTGCGATAATTTATCTAGCCGGTGTTTTAGCCGGCTCTTTGGGTACTAGTGTGATTGATTCCGAAGTGTATTTGGTGGGAGCGAGTGGTGGTGTTTATGCGCTGCTGGCAGCACAATTGGCAAATGTCATGATTAATTTTGGACAAATGCGTTATGGTGTCTCTCAACTATTGGCCGTATTAATATTTGGTAAGTTTATTTGAGGTAAAAAATGAAAACCAATATCAATTTCTTGCAATTCCAGTATTTTGTGATACGGGCTATGCTTTCTATAGCAAATTTATAAACGAAGACTCTTTAGATATAATACCCTCGGTATCATATATTGCACATTTGACTGGATCTTTAGCCGGTTTCACTATTGGACTTTTAGTATTAACGAATTTTGAACATAAAACCGAATCGAATTTAATACGTTGGCTTGCGTTTGGCGTCTATGCGTCATTTACTTTATTCGCCATTGCATTTAACCTGATCAATACTGTCATTGCTCAAAAACTCGAAGAAGAAGGTGAAGTTATAAAACAACATTTGTTTCATGATTTGGGCATATCCTAAATAAACGATTTTTTTATAACTAAGTATTCATTTCTAATACTCGCAATAGTTTTATATTTTCTCTTTAATTTTCAATGCAGTTTTAAGCCCAAAAAACATGAAACCAAATCGTAAAGATAAAGCCAAAGACTGAATGAATTTGTTTTATAAATCAGTAATAATATGTATAATTAAAATATAATGTGTTATTTTGTTTGTTTCTTTTAATTTTCTTATTTTTTAATATTGTTGATTTAGTTAATATTGATCTTTATTTTTATGTACATAATTGTAAATATCTTTCAATTCGGACATGATTTTTATATATTTAACAAATCTTGTCCATGAATGTGTTTTTTGTTGGCCTTATACCGATTTTATCACTTGTTGGTCACATAGTTTCAACAGATTCAAAGTCTACAAGTTCGAAGTGACCAGATCAGTTTTCAGCATTAACCTGATATGTATATAGTAAATACCCATGACAGCTGGTCCAACCCTTTAATTTGTTTAATTTTCCTAATTCATATGGAAATGTGTGCAGGTCGTATTCCTGCAAAATCCCGCTTCGTTAAGGGCTTATTGCATTTATATCATCTTAAGAAATTTTCCAAATTTTTTTCTGGCTGAAAAATTTTGTTCATTTTTAATATATGTATGTATAAAATTTCTGATCATCAGAGAATAGCCCACTTTCTTGGGTCAATCATTACTACATTTGTAATACCCGGGACGAATAAAACAATTGACTTCCTACGGTGGGCGCTGAGGCAAACGAATCCATCTTACAAACATCAATTTAGGAGAGATTAATTAAGCCTTGCGGGAAAGCAAATCCCATTGTGACACTGACAATTGATGCGTATGAATGTTTCTCTTCATTCTCATTGGAACCACTTCTACAGAAGTAAATATTTAATCTCTCTGGTTGTCTTAGAGAGACCAAGTCAATCTCGACTACATCCGGAGTAATTACACAGAGGGAAAAAGAAATATACACGCCTGGTACCAAATTGACACCAAACTGTTTATAATTTTTCAATACCATCTGACCAAAGCTTCCATCACGTTGGACAGCCGTGTCTAAAAGTCACTTAGTAGTAATTGATCTAACGCTACAAGTCTTACCTTTGTCCTTTCTACATGTAGATAGTCAAAGGCACCTAGATGCTCTTGATTGGACATTTAGATGCCATGACCTTAAGGCGTGGCAGCGGAAAAGGTGTAATTTTCTAACGTCTGAAGAACAATAGTTACTAATTCCGTTTTCCCTGGGAGTCGTACAAAGGCTAAATTAAATTTTCTTTTCATTATTCCATTATTTACATAATTTTTTTAAGTTAACAAATTTACAAAGTTTTTTTTTTTATAATAACTTAAAAATAGTTTATTATTAGTCCATTAAAGAAAAGTAAAATACAAAACTAAAAGAATTCAAAATATACTTTACCAAAGAAATTAAAGTTTGTAATATAAAACTCTCTAGATAAAACCAAAAAAGACAAACAAATAAATAAAAAACAACTTATTATTACCAAATAATTAAATTTTTAATTAAAAAAGTACTTAAAACAACAAAAACTTTAATGCAAGCAATAAAAACAGAACTGCAACGTTAACAATAAATAAAATAAAAATAAAATTAAAAAAGAAAAATAAAAATTTTGCTCAATGAATGAATGAATTTTACTACTAAAATATTAAGTAAGTAATTATAATGAATTAATACAATTAACAAAAAAATAAAAACAAATGTAATTTAATATTAACGATGAAATAAACTGCATGAACTGCAATAATAATTGGGCTTAAACGAATTGTAAAACACCCAACTTACAAAAAAAAATCATTGGTAAAACTGAAAACTATTCAAATTATTTTAAAGAAAAAGAAAATCTAAATAATTATTTCTAGTTTATGAATGATCCGTTAAAAGTATCATTATAAAACTATAATTTTTTAAACATTTAATTTTATTCAATTTCTAGCAAAAACTATATAAAACTAAATATATTCATAAAATTTTATTAAAAATGATTATAGGTGCAATAAACTATAAAATAACATGTATTTTGCAAAATTATTAAAAAAAGAAAACAATAATGAGTTGTAAAAAAACAAGTAAAACAATAAAGAATATTAACAAAAACAAATTTTAAAATATTGCAGTGACAGTTTAAATTTACAATGAAAACAACTGAATATCGTATGTACAAGAAACATGTACTCAGTCGCAAAAAAAAAATGACATGAACAATAAAATAAAATTTATCAATGAAAATTAACATTTACTCAGACATAAATACTATTTTTAAAAATTCTAGTGTAATAAGATCTACTTATTAATGAAATTAGTGACAAACAAAAATTATAAAACAAAACATTAACAATAAAGATTATTCATATAGTATATCAATTACATAATAAATAAAAAACTTATTTATGCTTAAACAAAATTATCTTTTGTGGTTTTCTTTGATTTTGATAATTTTAGAAATGTTATGCAAACGCTACAGAAGATAAATGTCAAACCAATTTCAGCTCATTTTTATACCCTACACCACTTTAGTGGGGAGGGTATTATGCATTTGTGCTAATGTTTGTAACACCCAAAAATATACCAATCGGTTCAGATTCCCTTTTTGAGTCGATTAAACTATATATATCTGTCCGTCTGTTTATGTGTCTGTCTGTATATCTGCCTGTCTTCTCTCTTCAGAATCACTTTCTGTCTCTATTAACCCAGCAAAAATTTTCATTACCTAGTAATCTAGAAAGTAATATTGGAATCACGTGGAAACTAATTACTTTTGGGGTGAATAACTAATTATTTTTGTTTGACGAGGTTCAAATAATATGTACCTACCTTAAACAAATTAATAAATGGTTACTAATTTGATTACAAAAACTTTGCGAAATAACTAGTTACAAATAAACCTACAAATATGTTATGTGATAGCTAGTTATTTTGGGCCGACTTTGTATGTAGAAAACAAAAAATAAAAAATTCCTCGGCCGGGATTTGAACCCAGGCATTCAGTTGTTTTCTATGTTTCTCACTCCAGCCGCTTACTCGATGCTCCATTAACATGTTGCTTTTTGTAATTTTGAGAACGGCTTTTTTCGAAAATATATAAATGAATGTCATTCTGAAAAAAATAAACAGTATCCAGCAGGGCTCGAACCACGAACCCCCTGTTTGTTAATTGAACGACCTAGACAATTGAGCCATAACAAATCCAAATTGTTTTGTTCTTTACCAGTAATAACCTATTCAGCTAAATGAAATAATGTGGATGATAATGAACACTCATTACCAAGTAATATATGAAATAATTACTGGCTATTACCAAAAATTTCAGATTTTTTGCTGGGAAGCTATGCCTGCCTGTGTGTCCGTGTAAACCTGTGCGCTCGCTACAGGTCGCAATATTTAAAATAATTTGATAAAAAAAAATATAAAATAAATCAAATTCAATACTCACAATTGGTGTAGGGTGTTATATGGTCGGTCAAGCCTGACTATAGTTTCTTATATATGTTTGTATGTTAAGGTAAGTATTTGTCAAAATAACGTGATACTTTAAGCGCTTTACGTAGAAATCCTTGATAAACGATACATTAAATACCCTGATATTTTTCCACTAGGAGTCTCTTAGTAGTAATTTGCACTTCCGTAACCACATTTGTTGTCAACATAAGGATTTGGTCCAAGGTCTAGACTCTAGACTGTTCCGCAGTTTAATATGTCTGTAAATGAGAGACAAACATATACCGGATCAGCGTTGCCGTTGTGAGACTAAAGTCGCAATTTGACTCTTTTTGTGACCCCTTGTCAAAATGAACTAAATTTGCGACTTTTTTCGCTTCTTACCACTTTTTGCCCCTTTTTGAATAAAACACATTTTTGTATATTAATACTCATCAAAAAAGATGGTGATTGTTTTTGTCATTCCAATTGTAACACATCGAAATATATGTTGGACATGGATCCACAAATGAATATATATTCTTGGTTCTTATTGAATTCTAAGACGATCTAGCCATGTCCGTCCGTCTGTCTGTTGAAAGCATGATAGAGACCGAACGGAAAAAGCTACAGGATTGCAATTTTACACAAATATTTCCAATAGGCAGGTTTGTTTAGTATTGAAAATGGGCAATATTAGTCAACGTTTTGCATAGCTCCCATATAAGTGCCCTCCGAAAAACAACTTTAACAGACATACCCCCGAACGGAAAAAGCTACAGGATTGCAATTTTACACAAATATTTCCAATAGGCAGGTTTGTTTAGTATTGAAAATGGGCAATATTAGTCAACGTTTTGCATAGCTCCCATATAAGTGCCCTCCGAAAAACAACTTTAACAGACATACCCCCATTTTCTCAATGTCTCGTTATATTTTATCGAAACAGTAGATTGACTAGTTTATATGCATCTTTCTTTAAAATGTATATCCCCCAGAAAAACAAGTATGAAAATCGACAAAAACTAATTTTATATTAACCAAAATCTTTTTGCTAAGTTTTTATATGAATCGGTCCATAATTGGCCTTTCTCCATGTAGACGTTCCCCTTCAAAATGTAAGTTTAACACTCATAACAGTCTTGAACTTTTCTGGAATACAAAAACTGCATACCAAATTTTATGAAAATGGAGATATAATAAACCCATATAATATAAACAAATTATGTAGGAACCAAAATCTTTTTACCAAATTTTATGAAGATCTTTTTGTAGTTGACACTACACCCGTAGGAGCTTCACTCCTACAGAAAATTACTTTAACAATCATTACTGATTTAAAAATGTTGTTATACCTATGAAATTCGACATAAATAAATTTTAAAGAAACCAAAATATTCCTACCAATATTTATGTGAATCGGTCTATAAATGTTCTTACCCCCATTGAATGCACTACTCCGAAAATAGCATTGATGTTCATGTAACTATTGATATACGATAATGAATTTGAGGTTAAGCTATGATCCCATACATTTTATAAAAATAATACATATGTTTTTACAAATAGAAGACGCTCACCGATTTTATTTAGGCTTTTATACAAATCTATTTCTGTCTATTTGACTGTTCTACGGGTGAAACGGCCCACAAATAGTGAGCATAGGAGATGGAATTTTTCAAACATATTCGGAGTTGATCAGGGGGTTTACCTTGTATTTCGATTTGAAAGAAAAATCTTTCGAACACAATGTTAATTAATTTAACATTCAAACTATTAACATACAAATTCGAACATTTTTTCATTATAATCGAGTTACAAATTAAGCCCCCAGTGGAAAAATATTTTATGAATGTCCTTAATATGCTGAAACCTTAAAGGTGACAGCTAGAAAACGTTTTAGAAACTTTTTGCGTTAAAAATCCCCTTTCAGTGCGACTTTTTTCCGAAAAATCCCCTTTTGTGCGACTTTTCCAAATTTTGGAAAACCTAATTCGAACGAAACAAATGTGATCATTCAACAGAAAACTCGTGGGATTGTAGATTAAGATCAGATCTTTATATGATATTGTCATAACTGCAACCTTCGCAACTGGTTCTGTGGAAGAGTTATAGAGTCGACTAAAAGTAATGTTCCAGGAAACAAGTTCTAGAAGCATACTGTTTGCATTCGTCCGAGAACAATTTTTTAGACAAATTCTAAAATTTTTCTCATTTGGGAAAGATTCGATGAGCAAAAAAAAAATAACTAGTTCCAGAACAGCCTTTTTAAGGCTTCGAACAAAAATCATTGATTAAAGAATTATTCCAGAACAGTTCCATAGAACGAACCACGACTCCATAACACTTCCACAGAACCTGTTCCGAAGGTAACAATTTCAAACAAAAACAATAAGAAGTTACAGTCGGGCGAGGCCGACCATATAATACCCTAGGTTTGGTTAGTTATAAAAATAAAATGTGATTTAGTGTTCATAATAAAGCATTTAAGTCGAATTGTACCTTGCCTCAGATATTCTTTAGCCATCTTTTGTTGAATAAAATTGCGTACATTTAAGTCATATTTCGAAGAGGGCTTTGAATAGGGGCGAGGGTCATCAGGATCATGAAGGCTAGTATAAAACACACTGATTTGGTATAATTATCAACTGTTGTAATTATCGTGCATATTTTTGTGCGTTAAGCGAAATAAATGTATTCGTAAGTATTAATTTAAGAAGTTATTTGCAAGCGAGCGTAGTAAGAATTTGCCTCAAATGTCATCACCGTGGTAAAATCATGAGTTATGCTACGTTCACACCTATCAACTATTTGACGAAAAAGACATAGCAAATAATGTCGAAACAAATTATCAAGATGTTCTAAAGTAATAACTTCAACGATATATTAAGGTTGTGAACGTACCTACCTTTAGAATGCTAATAAATTAGTTGTGAAAAACGTTTTTAGCTTTTTAACTCATTACTTTTCAATATAAGTTTTTGCTGAAAAGTTATCATTGATTAAAATCATTGCAAAAAAAAACTATTTTATAATACTCTAACAGAACATTTAAACCACAAAATATTTTTAAAAACATACTTTCAGAATCTGTGAGTTTATATGATAAATAATTGATAAAGTTTTGTGGTCATTTAAGTAATTGGAAACAGATTTTTTTTACTTATATTTATAGATACGTTGGTATATTATTATTTTTTTATTTTCAAACATCTGCAATCTGCAAGTTGTAGATCAAAAAAACTAAAAGAATTACGCTTAATTTAATGCCACTGCAGCAGTATACAACAAACAAACAAACAGGCTGGAGATAATAAGTAGACACTATTTCATCGAAACATGCAGTAAATTGCATACAGCAGCAACAAAAATTGGCATTATTTTCACAATTTACAACAACATTTAAAGTTTAAACGAATTGATATAATTTTCATAATCAACAACCAACAAAATCATGTTTCAGAAGATAATCGGGTTGTATATTTGAGCAAAAAAAGAAAAACAAGACCACATTTACCAATTTTGCTACAAATATGATGAAGTGTTATGAGACTAAAAGTACCACTACAAAGTAACATTTTCTTCTGAAGGGAATTCAATTCTGTATAAGCCAAAAATGACGACAATTTTGACAAAATCGGATATAATGGGCCCCTCAAAATTTGATTTTTTGGCTGTGAATATAGGAGTCAATAATATCAATTTATCGAAATATTTACAGTTAGGGAAGGGCTATGGACATACATATAAAGTCTTAAAACAAGAATCGATTTTGTTAATGACCTTTAATCTTAAGAATCCTTCGATGTAAAGAATTCATATCCCCAAATGTTGCAAATAGCATCACAAGTACTTGATATACTTAGACAGATGTAAGGTACACAAATCGCTGAACAAATGTATGTAAATTACAGCCATACACAGAAAATTTTTTTATTTTGGTCGGTGATCATCACTTTCAGACACAAAATTAAAATTGAAACCAAC